CCGTACAGCAGTATATATATATAATCTTAAATACATGATATATAGTGTAAATATGCATGCTTTTAAATGAGACAGTATATCTAAAGACTGCTTTTAAAATTGCTTTATTAACTTTACAATATATAATAAACATCTTTTCATGCACGTTGATGAAACTCCCCTGCTGACAAAATGAAATCTCCAATCAGAAAATGGCAGAATAACAACAAAAGATTCACAGTAAGGGATACACCAAGAAAATGCAAGTTTGGAAAGCAGGGGGTTTATGATTATTAACCTCAAGATTCAAGGCATGAGGCAAAACTCATCATGATGATCATGGTGAGGGGGGTCCCCTATAAGAATGCGCAGACTGTACCTCAATTGAAGCTCCCTAATTTTCCTCCTTAGCTCTCTCATCTCCTCCATGAATCGTTCCATATCATCTGCATCCCCATCTATCATATCGATGTTATTGGCAAGCCTATTGGGCAGATCCTCTCCAAAATCCTGGACAGGTGGAGCCCACCCCCCTCTAATATTTCCTCCAGGCTCCTGGCCTTCACCACCTCGTAGAGGGTGGGCTTCTTCTTCTTTTGGCCCCGGGGCCTGCTCCCCAACTTTGTTTTCCTGGGGGACATTTTCCATGTTGTGGATTTTTCCTGTTTTGTCTTCCTAAAACATAAAAAAAGAAGAGGGATCGAATGCTTGATAACAGGATTCAGAACAAAGGTTTTCCAACCTGAGAGACTTCGTGCACCCTCTAGGGGGCGCCCCAGATCCAGCCCTGGGCCAAAGCCCAACATTTTCTCTGAAAATTTTTCCCTGGGCCACTTCATTTAGGACGGGTGAGGGGCGGGGCCGAGGTTGAGAAACCAGGCCTCAGCTCCCAGGGATCCTGATCAGTCCTCCAGGGGCGCCCCCAGACCTCACCCTTCAACTCCTTTCTTCCTTCACTAGAAGACGTAGGACCGCCGTTTTGTTCACACCCTGCTAGGTTTCTCCTGCACTTAATTCAAGCAGGGAGGGCTGTGAATCTCCAAGATTCTGTTCTGATCCCTGAGACTCTTACACCTGAGGGCCCCAGAAAACCCCCTACCTGCAGGGATCAGAGGCAGTCTTTCTCTCTTAGCCTTGAAATCTGCTACACCAACGGACCTAAAGACCTGCAGATAGAAATGTGACAATATCCAGGACAGATCAGTTGATCAAAGTATCTGTATTGGGGGCATCAGCCCCTTTGTTGATTTAGAGCTCTCCTAGTCGAATATCAACACCTTCAGTTTCTCCCCCATCCTGTTTCACAGCTTCTTTTCCCGCCCTGTGACAGGTTACCCCACCCTCCAGAAATAGGCATTGTAATCAAAGATAATTATTTCCAAACCGTTTTAACCTTTTCTTTAGGCCCACTATCCCCACTGTGTCATACCACCCTTCACCTATTTATCGTTTCTTGAAGGCAGATGGATAACTTGTGGGGCGGGGGAGTCAGAAGAGCTTGCTGGGTGGAGATGTGATTTATTTACAAAAAAATTCAATCTGGGTATCCTCCAGGACCCCATGGGACCCACTGCTCTCTCTCCAGCCCACCCCCTTCCATGCCCACCATTTTATACATCAAGATGGATAATGGGCGAAGAGGTGAGTGGGCACTGCAAACCAGGACCCGCTGCAGTCATTGAGCTTTGTCATTCTTACCCCAAGGTACACGAGCAGCACCCACGCTTACACCGATCTGGAGGAACCAGAAACAGGCGCACCCCGCCTCTATCCCTCAGTCAGAAGCTCTACCACTCAACCGCCTCCTCCGCAATAGGGACCTGCTTCCCAGACCTGATCCCTGTACCCCTTTTTCTGCAGCAACTCCTCTCCCCGGCCCCCACAGCCCAGCATTTCCGGCTCCAAATGGACTGAGGGTGAAGAAAATATACCGGGAACACAGGCCTGGAACCGTGGCAGAGTCCGCTTTCCCCATTCCCCGGTCACTGGCTACATCCCGCTCCCGCGGCCCTGCTGGAATCAGTACGTTTCCTCGCCATCCCCCTCCCCCAGTCCTTCCCCTCCATCAGACATTGCTCGATCGATGCTCGTTTTGAGGAAATCCCAACTGGTGCTCATTCTCAAGCCCCTGCCCCTCTCGAGTTCTTTCCCCCAAGCCCTCCATTTCTTGCACTAAACGGGAGGGCATCGGGAAGAGGACAGAGAATCCGGTCCTGGACCCGCTATGGTATTTGCTCTTTGCCACTCCTACTGCAGTCAGCGTCCACCCACCTGCCACCGATCCGGGTCAGCTTCTACCACTTCCCTCCTTCCCGAGGCAACAGAACAGGCTCGCTTGCCTTCAGGGCAGTAGCGAACCGACGCACCGCTACAAACGACCACCACACCGCAACTAAGAGGAGAAATTAATCCAAGCTTTAGTTCTGGGTCTCCTACGTCACTGTGAGCTCAGATTTCTAATTACCGTTCACACCTGCAGTGCGGCAGGAGGGTGGGGGCGGGAGCATGGGCGGAGCCACCTTTCTCCTCATTCCCGCCTTCCTCATCACTACCACAGTCTACTGCTCACCTCCCCATTTTTCCCCCTATTTAGCAATCCCCGAGACCAAACGGGTCATAATATCCTGTAATTTGTATTTGCCTTTTCCTGGTTTCTGCTGGAACGTTTAAAGTATTGCTTCTTCCGCTTCTATGCCCCCTAAACGCCCACTTCTATCCCTTACACTCTCCATCAAGTTAAGTCCAGAATTTACCCTAACCACCAGTGTCTAGTTGGTTTTGTCCCAGATTGGGACCCGGGCAGGGAGTGGAGGGAGGGAGCACCAGACTAGGTCTGGAAAATAGCTAGAGAGTGACATTAAAAAAATTCTTTTTTCAGTTTATTTTCCTGTTTATTTAGTTATTTTTTTTTGGAGGGAGGGGGAAGTGTTTTACTTTTGTTTCCCATCAGCAGGCATTTATTTTTCGAATGTTATAATTAGTACAATTATTTTCAGTTGAAAAAAAGAGGATTTGATTTGTAAAAACATGGCAGCCTGTTTCTGTTGCTGAATCATATTATAAATATACATCTTCCAGACAGCACTCCCCTGCCCTGTTAAGTTCATTGAAATATAAACCTCAGCTTGTGGTTCCCCTTGTGAAGGGTCCCTGTCTGTGGGTCCTTGCATGAGTTGATGCACTGAGTCTAATAGAGACTTGCTGAGAGATTTTCAGATTTTTACAGCCTGTGACAAACTGATGGTTTCTAAATTGTTTTAGTGTAACCTTGCCTTACAGTAACACTCTAACCTCGCCTCTAAAGTAGAACCACAGTGAGGTTTTCCAACAATTCGGAACAATAATTTGGGGGAAGTTACACTGACAGAAAACAATGTATCGTGAAACTACAGTGTTAAAATAATATTGTGCCAGAATAAATATATAACAAATGAACCAGGAGAAAAAGCCAACTGTCAAACCCAAATATGGAGAGATGCTAATAAGCTGATTGAAACATTTTGGATGAGTAGGGAGAGGTTAGGTTGTCCAAGAGATGGTGCTGGGATAATTGGTCAACTATTTGTAAAAACAACAAAGTGCTTTATTCTTATATACTTAACTATAGACACTAAATTATTTTTTATTTATTAATTGAAACATAATTGATTGTACACATCTGTGGGGTACGGCATTAAATATCAATGCCTGAATGCAATATGTGATGCTCAAATCAGGATAATCAGTATATTCAATATTACACAATGTAATCTTTTTTTTTTTTTTTTTTTTTGTGGACCTTTACCAATTTCTTGCTGGCCCCCCTCCCCTTCCCCTTTCCCACCTCTGGTGGCTTCAGTTCTGTTCTCTCCTTTTGAAAGTTCAATGAATTATTGTGATTGTTGTGTCTTTCTTTCTTTCTTTTATTTTATTTATTTATTTATTTTAGCTCCTGCTTGTAAGAAATACTGCACGCAGTATTTCTTTCTGTAAGCCTGGCTTATTTTACTTCACATGATTTTCCCTAAGTTCATCCATGTAGCTGTGAATGGCAGAATTTCATTCTTTTTTATGGCTGAATAGCATTCCATTGAGTATATATGCCACATTTTCCTTATCCAGTCATCTGTTTATGGACATTTAGGTTGGTTCCAACTCTTAGCCATTGTAAATAGAGCTGCAATAAACATGGGAGTGCAGGGATCCCTTTGACATGATGATTTCTATTCCTTTGGGTATATCCCCAGCATTGGGATTGCCAGATCATTTGGCAATTCTGTCTGTAGTTGTTTGAGGAATCTCCATACTGTTTTCCATAATGATTGCACTAATTTACAGTCCCACTAAGAGTGTATGAGGGTTCCACTTTCTCTGCACCAGCATTTGTTATTCTCTGTCTTTTTGATAATAACCAGTCAAATTGTGTGAGATGATATCTCAGTGTAGTTTTGATTTGCATATCCTTGATGCTTTGTGATGTTGAGCACTTTTTCATGTGTCTGTTGGCCATTTATACATCTTCCTTTGAGAAACACCTATTCAGCCCCTTTGCCCATTTTTTAGTCAGGTTACTTATTTTTTCTATTGTTAAGTTGTTTGAGTTCCCTTGTATATTCAGGATATTAATCCCCTGTTGGATGCATAGTTTGCAAGTATTTTCTCACATTCCGTAGGTTGTCTTTTCACTCTGTTAATTGTTTCTTTTTCTGTGCAGAAGCTTTTTAGTTTGATGTAGTCCCATTTGCTTATTTTTTCTTTTGTTTTCTGTGCTTCAGGTGTCTTATTCATTAATTTTTGTCCAGTGCTACTTCCTGAAGTGCTTCCCTTATATTTTCTTTTAGGAGTTTTATAGTTTCATGTTTTATATTTAAATATTTAATTTATTTTGAGTTTATTTTGGTATATGGGGAGAGGCACAGGTCTAGTTTCATTATTCTATGCATGGGTATCCAGTTTTCTCAGTACCATTTATTAAAGAAGCTGTCCTTTCCCCAATGTATGTTTTTGATGCCTTTGTCAAAGATCAGTTGGCTGTAAGTATGTGGGTTGTTTTCTGGATTCTCTGTTCTGTTCTGTTGATTCATGTATCTGCTTTTATGCCAGTACCATGCTGTTTGGTTACTGTAGCTTTGTAGTATAATTTGAAGTCAGGTAGTATAATGCCTCTGGCTTTATTTATTTATTGCTAAGGATTGCTTTGGCTATTTGAGATCTTTTGTTGTTCCCTATGAATGTTAGGATTGTTTTTCTATGTGAAGAATGTCATTGGTATTTTGATGATTGCATTGAATCTGTAGATCACTTTGGGTAGTATGGATGTTTTCACAATGTTAATCCTTCTAATCAAAGAGCAATGTAATGTCTTTACACCTTTTTGTGTCCTTTTAATTTCTTTCAGCAGTGATTTGTAGTTCTTTTTGTAGAAATCTTTCACTTCCTCTGTTAAATATATTCCTATGTATTTCATTTTTTGGTGAGTACTGTAAATGGGCTTGCTTTCTTCATTTCTTTTTCTGCTAGTTTATTGTTGGAGTATAAAAACTCTACTGACAGATAGAGCTACCATGGTCCAGCAATCCCACTACTGGGTATATATCCAAAGGAATGGAAATCATCATGTTGAAGGGATACCTGCACTCCCATATTCATTGAGGCTCTATTTACATTAGCCAAAATATGGAATCAACGTAAGTGTCCATTGACAGACAACTAGATAAAGAAAATGTGGCACATATACACAATGGAATACTACTCAGCCACAAAAAAGAATGAAATTCTGCATTTTGCAGCAACATGGATGAGTCTGGAGAAAATTATGTTAAGTGAAATAAACCAGACAAAGAAACAGAAACACCATATGTTCTCCCTCATAACTGGCTGGTAGGAAGGGAGGGAGGGAAGGAGGGAAGAAGGAAGAAATGAAGGAAAGAAAGAAAGAAAAGACCACAACAATATGTTGAATTTTCAGAAGGAGAAAACGAACCTAAGGATACTAGAGATGGGGGGAGGGAGGGAGAAGGTCGGGCAAAGGGAATGAAGAAATAAAACAATTTGTAAGAATGAATATGCTAATAATAAATAAAATTTTAAATAAAAATAAAATGCTACTAATTTTATATCCTGTGAATTTACTGAAATTGTTTATGAGCTCTAAGAGGATTTTTTTTTAATAGTCTTGGTGTTTCTGTATATAGGATCATGTCATCTTCAACGGACAGTTTGACTTTGTCTTTGCTTATCTGGACACCCTTTCTTTCTTTCTCTTGCCTGATTGCTCTAGCTAGTACTTCCCATACTGTGTTAAATAGGTGTAGTGAAAGTGGACATCCTTGTCTTTTCTAATGTTCTTAAGAGAAAAGCTGAAGCTTTTCAGGATAATATTGGTGGTGGATTTGACATATATGGCTTTTATTATGTTGAGATACTTTCTATACCTAATTTGCTCACAGTCTTTATCATGAAGGGATGTTTTGTCAAATGCTTTTTCAACATCTATTGAGACAATCATGGCTTTGTCCTTTTTTTTTTGGTGTGCTCTATCACATTTATTGACTTGCATATGTTGAACCACCCTTGCATTCCTGGGATGAATCCCACTTGATCACGGTGTATGTTTTCTTTGAAATGTTGCTGTATTCTGATTGCTAAAATTCTGTTGAGTATTTTTGCATCTATGATTTTTAAAGATGTTGTCCTGCAGTTTTCTTTTTTTGTTGTATCTTTGTCTGTGTCAGGGTGATGCTGGCATCATAGAATCAGTTTGGTGGAATGGCCTATGTTTAAAATTTTTGGAATTGTTTGTAGACAATTGATATTAATTCCTCCTTAAAGGCTTGGTAGAATTCACCAGCAGAGTCACCTAGTCCTGGGCTTTTCTTTGTTGGAAGATTGATTCCATCTCATTGCTTGTTATTGGTCTGTTCAGGTTTTCTATTTCTGCTTGATTTAGTCTTGGTAGTTTGTATGTGTCACAAAATTAATCCATTTCCTGCAGCTTTTCAAATTTGTTGGTGCATAGTTGTTTATAATAGTCTGTGATGATTCTTTATATTTCTGTGATACTGGTTGTAATGTCTCCTCTTTCGTTTCTGACTTTGGTTTTTTGGGTCTTCTCTCTTCTTTTTTTATTTATCCTAGCTAATAGTTTGTCTATACTGTTTAACTTCTCAAAAAACCAACACTTTCTTTTGTTGATCTTTTCTATTTTTTGTCTCTATTTCATTTAGTTCTGCTCTAATCTTAATCATTTCTTTCCATCTACTAATTTTGGGATTGGATTGTTCTTGTTTTTCTAGCTCTTTTACATATCATGTTAGGGTTTTTTATATGACGTCATTCTATTTTTTTGATGTAAGAATTCGTTGTGATAAACTTCCCTGTGCTTTTGAGGTCTTATTCATAAAATCTTTGCCAAGACCAATGTCCTAAGCATTTCACCAGTTTTCCTATAGTGGTTTT